GATATAAAATTCCGTGTGTCTTGACTTAAATCAGGGTATCTCGATGTTTAATGCTTTTAGCTCCAACATTGTGTTGTTCGAGGACAAATTAAGCTTTCAGTGATTAGGAAAAAGGAAAAAAGTCTCATATGGTATACAACAAACGCCTTATGGAAACACCATCAGTTAAGAGGATTTAAGGCTAACGCCATTCAGTTTAGCAATAGGTAAACGGTCATGATAGTTGATGATCGTTTTAACCATCACGTGCGTTTGAACGCGAACTATCATACATCAACATCGATGAATGTGGTAGTCTTTTCCCCATATTTATTTGGCCATGAAATATATATCGCTCTACTTCTGTTGCTTTACTTTTAATTTGCCTTTAAGTTTGTCGTGAACTTGACAGAGCATGTCAAGTTGATTAATCAAAAAAAATATCACGAATAAGGACTTTATGAACTTGTTGTGGAGCCAGATTATTACTCACTTGAAAAAGAAGGAAAGTCAATAAATATAACCTACAATGCCAAAACTATGAATATAGTATGATTTTTCTTGATGCCCCGTGCAAGGTTTTCTCTTATTTTTCTCAAGATTTTAAAGGGATATAATGTAGCTGAGGTAGATTAAAACTTTCAGTTTATTGGTTGACTGAGAGGGAAAGTTGTTGATAGACAGAACGTTAGGTAAATTTTCACCACCTGGCGATGAATTTATTTCCGCGGTAATTTCAGCCGACCACTATGTACATACGAGCTCTTTAGTATATTCAATTAGTCTATTTTGACATTGAGTGAAGAGTTTGAGCTGAAGGAGAGGACTTTAATAGTAGTGATGTGTTTCTTTTATCTCTGCTGTTAATTAGAGAATATGGGCGACACATTTAAAGTTATTTTATTTGTTCGTGTTTGGCCTCTATCGATACCTGATGAACTGACAAACGAAGGCTTGTTTTAAATAAAGTGAATAATAAAGTCAGACGTTGAGGCCAGGTGTGCTATGATAATTTTAGTTTTCGAAGCTTTCATCATGAAAAGTGAATAATGTTTGCTTTTCCCTTTGTCATGTGTCGAGATTCTAAGACCCTCAGTAACGCAAAAAACATCTGTTATAAGCAGTCGAAAAATTAAAACTGAGGCAAGTGATCTCGAATACTTCCATTCAGACCAGAAGGATCTCAAAATGTTTTTTCACCCAAACATAGAAAACAGAGGATGCTATTCACGTACAGAAATAACAGATGAATCTAATTGATTTCTTAACATGTCTTTGTTTTTAAATTCATGATCACTTAATCAAGAGAGAAGCCAAACACGAACTAGTAACATTTAATTGAAATGTGTCACCTCATGTCTTAAATTAATAGCGAGGATAAAAGAAGCTACTCTACTCTAAACCTCTTCTTATTTGTTGTAAAATTCTTCTTTGAACGTAAAAAAGGCTAGATAAATATGTCAGTGAACTCACACAGTGCATTCCGACTGGCAGAGATTGGCGTAAAAATGAATCATTACCATGTGGTATCTTATGAGATGTATTTCGACGACTTTCGCTTTCAATTAAACGAAGAACTAAGTCTTCTATTTGATCACGGCAATCGTACGTTACGTAAAAAATAAGAGAAAAGCAAGGCAAAATCGTGCAGAAAGTATTTAAGAAACACAATATGCAAAGTTGTAATGTTGTGGATTGTTATTCGTAACGACTTCATTTTGGTTAAAAATCCATTAATTTTTCACACAATTTGGTGATGTTCTTGATTCTGATAATATCCTTTATGTTCCCAGCCATAACTGTGTTGGATGAAAAAAGCTTGAACATGTTCATGAGAAACTGTCGAGCAAATTGAAATGAAAACGGTTCAGATGAAGCAATGAATATTTGATGGCCAATTACGTAGAGGAGAGATCGGCGAACCAGTTGAGTTGGTTGCGCAAATAGTGCAAGACAGTCCGATTGGGTTAAATTGCTGATATAAAGCATGGCTGGCGAATGTATTGATGGAGTCCCGACACGCAAACTGAACCTTTTCGTTTTATGCAACATCTGGCCAAGTTATCTTTGGCTTAATTACTATGCATTCATTAACAAGCGGAGGACTCTATCTCTAATGTAAGTCAGCTTGTCGTCAACATGGTCAGGCGCTGTTTTGCTGATTTTTTTTAGACCTTATCAAGGCTTTTGATGCAGGCTTTACAAGTGTGACATTTATGTTAAGTATATAATATTACAAAAGTTGTCCTCTCACAATAACATTTAGAGCTAAAAGTGTTGAAAATTAGTGCACCTTCATATAATTATAAAGCAGAAAATTCATTTGTTACTTTCCCCTTTCCAAAGTATGGGAACTATAATTCGCCACATTTCTTTTCCCTCTTCCTTTTTTCTTTTTTCATACAGATCTTCGGCTAAAACGGTCCAAAGGATCACCTGATAGTTGATCAACGCGAGAATACGAATTGAAATATCTTATGATGTCATAGCCTTAAGAGTCACAATGATAAGAGAACTTTGTTTCTACAATACCTTTAGATTTTGTACAATGACTTGTTTCTAGAACAAAAAATGATGGTTCGGAGCCCGGGAATACCCCAGTATAGAAATGGATTGATAGACGAATCATGAATGCTACAGAGGAAAGGTCCAGATATTGAGTTTAAATAATTAATGGCGGCTGGGGGGTCCGTAAAATATATATAACTAGGTTGAAGCGCTTTAATCCATTTCTCTACAAGATAAAAGCCTTGCTGTTTTAAAAACTGCCGTTCGGAGCCCGGGAATACGCCAGCAATATAGAAATGGATTGATAGACGAATTCATGAATGCTACAGTAACCGGAAAGGTCCAGAGAATTCTTGAGTTTAAATAATTAATGGCTGAGAAAATATGAACAAAAAATGATGGAGTGTAGAATAAAATCATGACGAGGAAATATATGAAGATATTTTTTGCACTCTTAGTTGTTTGTCGTATTTGCTGTTTATTTGTATCAGTTGAATTTTCCACTGCTTGTTGTTGAACGTGAATTTGCAACTGATGCCGGAGAACAATTCGGTAAATCTTGATAAAACAAACCAAGCAAACCAAAAGGCAAATTGTGATAAAAAAAGCTACAAGAAAATAATAAATACGCGGCGACCAAAGAGTTGAAAAAGAGAATAATGTGATAATACATCTAATAGTTATTATTGTATAGATTGCCCGGCTTGTTGTCATTAAATTTGGGTGCTGCAGGTGATAGTGGAGAGCAAAGAAACGATCCACTGTTATGGCTGTCATTGTCGAGAGAGAGACACCGCACCCAGCAAATCTCATTGCTCCTACTGCTTCTTGTAGTTTTGGAACAATTCTTACCATTTGTTCTACTATATAAACTGGTTGTACCACTAATCCCACCAGAAGATCTGAAACAGCCAAATTGCAGAGAAAAAATGACGGACGGTGAACGAAGCGATGGCGTCTTCAATATCCAATGATGGATAGGAACATCAAAGGTGCATCGAGGATGCAGTCTGCGATTACCACTATCTCAAAACCAATTTTATGGTTAGCTGATAAGTTACTGGAATAGTTTACTTCAAATTTGCTTGTCATCACTATGCGTTTTAACCTTCTCTTTGTTTGCACGGATCGGAGATAATCAAAAGTTAGAGCTAAAAATAGAAAAGTGACGCCATACAAAAGAATATCAACTGTTTATATTAGATAGCAAATAATTTAATGAGATTAAGAAAAAAACTGAAAAAAAAGTGGAGTGGGTGCAGAATTTTGATTTGGTTACCTTTTTTTTCGTGAAAATATCACAGCATTTACTTGTGCACAAGTCCGAACGGACTTATACGTATCATAATTCTTGG